AGCTTTCGTTCTCAGGAAAAGGACACATGCGTGGGGTTCGTTCTACGGGACTTGAAATAGAGAGCTGGCATTTGCCGAGCACCTGGATTCCATGCCAGGCTTCCTGCATATGTGGCTTCGTTTACATGCCAAGCACGCATCTCCTTAAGGCTCCTGCACTTGCTGGTCCCTGTGCCTGGAACATTCTTCCCCCAGCCCCCACCTGGCTTCCCCGTTGCCTCCTTTGGATCCCTGCTCCAATGCACTGCCTGCCAGTTGCCCCTGCTGCCATTCCTCCCCTCCCCCTTCACTCTGCTTTGTGTTCCTCCCCAGTACGTGCCACCCTGTACGTGCCGTCTGTGTGGATAGCTGCTTATTCTTGGGCTCCTCAGGTAGATTTTTGTCTGTTTCATTCACTGTATGTGTTGAGTGGAACAGGGGCTGATACATAGTCAAGGTTCAATAAGTAGATATAGAATAAATGCATTGAATTCTTGCAGTCCCCCCGTCAAGGTATGGACTATCTTCCCCATTTTATGAATGAGAAACCAAGGCCCAGAGAGGTAAATTAACTCGACGCAGCCCACACAGCTTATCCAGTTGGCAGAGCCAGGATTGAAATCCAGGCTCATAGAGCTCCAAAGTCCTACATTCCTCCCCCAACATGCACTACCCTCCCAGCCCATGATAAAGACAACATTTATTGGGTGTCCCGCTGTGCATATGCTGCACTACAGTGTGTAATAAGGAAATGCCAAGAAGAGGGAAGTTCTTTCATGATGGATGACAGGGAAGCCCTTAACAGCTCTCACAAGTGCATCAGCTTATCCCAGTGAATGCACTTTACACAGGGGTGCTTAAGGCTCTACCTGGGACTTGGCATCCGCTAAACTCCTCCTATGTGTGTCACCTGTTCTCTTTCCAGTTACCGTTCACTCTGCAAAGCGGGGCACCTTTCCCCTCCATTTTACAGATGAGGAGACTGAGACACAGAGAGGTAACACTTGCCACAACTCACATGGGTCGTGGCAAAATTCGAATTTAGAAGACTGCCTCTTTCTGAATACCACACGGTCCTTTTCTCGCCACTCCATTAGCCTCCACCTGGCTTTGCAAGGGGGAAAATGAAAGTATAAACAGGTTGGGAGGCAGCAGTCCAAGTTGAGGTAGTCTCCCCGCAGTGTCTTCTGACTCCTTCCCTGTGTGCCTCTGGGTTTCACCTGGAGTGAGGGCTGGAGGAGAGACTCGATTTAAGCTGCAAGTTGGGTTTAATCATTAAGTTGGTCCACGCTTGACCAAGCCAGGGGCTTTTTAGTGTTAGCTCAGTCCTCAGGCATCCTGGAGCTTTGGGGTGAGAGATGCCAGGGACATGCCAGAGCCTGCCAGAGCAATGCCCACATTATCTGTATTCAGTCCACATTAACATCCCTGTATAGGAGCTCTCTTTGCCCCCATTTTACAGGGCAGCAAATGAAGGTTCCAAGGTCAAGGACAAGGATACCCAGCATGTAAAGAGGAGAACCAGTCTTCCAAATTTGGGTGGATGATGTGCAAATGCTGCGTCCAGACTGGGGATGCATTTGCACCTACTCGGGGTACCCCCTGAAGACCTCCTTTCTCTTTAGGGCCTGGATGAGGAGCCCTGTAGCTACTGAACCTTGCGGCCAGATGTGCTGCTGCCTGGCTGCCCATCTGAGCGGCAGTGATAATGCTGCTAGGTCCACTGGCTTCCCTGGCCTGTGTTAACCCTTGGTCGCCTCCATGGCAATGGCTGCCCAGAGAGCCAATGAGGACCCTCCCCTTTCTCTTTTCACCCCTCTACCTCTTTCACCCAGCCCCAATTCAGAGCTAAATTGAGCTTTCTCTGACTTAGTCCTCCCCATCAAGAAATATCTCTAGCTAGGCATGGTGTTGCACGCCTGCAATCCCAGCACTCAGGGGGCTGAAGCAGGAGGATTGCTGTGAGTTCAAGACCAGCCAGGTCAGTCTCAACTACTTAGTGAGACCCTGTCTCAAAAAACCAAAAAAAAAGAATCATCTCTAGAGCTGAGCTGAGATTCCTGAAGTGATAGTGGTTCTTCCACCAGCTCTAGAGCCTACTGGGCTATCGACTGTAGTCAGGGGCTGGCTAGCCAAGGCTCCTAGTGATCTGCAAGGATGCCAAGGGCTGGGACTGGGACAGGGCAGTAGAAGCAGCGTGATCTTTCCCATCAGGAAGTAGGAAGAGGGAATGGGATCTGGCCAGCGTATAGGGAGAGTGGAAAAGTTGCTGGAAGTAACTGGGCTTCCTGTCTACCCTCGTTTGGTTGCTCCCTTGGCTCCCTTCTCTTTCCCTGGCTGTGGGAGCCAGGGCAGGCTTCCTGTAGGAGGGGACATCTGAAGGAACTTCAGCTGAGCACCTGCCCAGCCTAGTGTCGTCTCCTGCCTGTCTAGGTGGCTTGGTCATCCCATGGCACCAGCATCATGGGAGCCTGATGCGTGCCAGCACAGGGTGCAGATGTGGGGCTTGCCTCCAATGGAAGAGGGCACTGTGTGCCCTGGAGTGGGCTGAGCAGCTGGTCCCATCACTGGCGAGCACAGATTCTACAACCCTGTCCCAGAGAGGGAAAGGTCAGCACCCAACTCCCCAAACCAGGCAAGGTCACCGAAATGCTCTGTCTACTGTTATTAACATCTTTAATAACAGAACAAGAAAAAGTTAGTGTACTCACATAAGGTAGTTTTGCTTCTTAAACTTTTGCTTCAGTTGTGTATATGTATGTGTTGTGTGTGTTGCAGTAGTATTCTCCTTGGTGGGGTGCAGTGATGAGAGCTGGGGGGCACTGGACTAGGGCAGGAGAGAGCTGGTGCCAGAGCCCGGAGCCAAGTCCTTGAAGTCAGGCCACCCCTTCCCCGTGGTGTGACCCAGCGTTCCCGCCATGAAGCAGGGAGGACAGGGGCCGCTCCCTCCGGGGCACAGTGGTGAGAAGTGAGTGGACAAAAGCAGGCGAGGGTCCAGCTCCATGCCCAGGATGGCACTGTCATGGTTATTGTTTCTGCCAGGGAAAGAGAGCCCCTAGTGGGTCCTGTCCCTGGTGTCTCTGTTGGGCCTGGCTGACAGGTGACAGTGAGCCTGGACCCCAGAGGCTGGAGAGGGAGGCATCCTTTTCCTGAGCACAGAGAGCAGTCCTTCCTGGGCACGGCCTTCTGTTAAACAGACTGACAGTCTGCAGTGCATGTTGTTCCTGTGCTGACCAAACCTCCGGCCAGTGAACACAGTCTGGGCTTAGGGAATCAAGTTCAAGAGGGAGTGACCAGCAGGGACACTCAGTTACAGTGGTGGAGGGGGGACACAGGGCAGGCTCTGTGGCAGAGGTACTCTGTCCAGTGGAGGCACCTCCGTGGCCAAAGGGCTGATGGAGGGAGAGCAAGGCCTGTAGGGTGCTACAGCGTTCTGGGTGCATGGTCAGAGCTTGAAGCAGAGTGAGGATGCTGTGCGCCCCTCTGCAGTAGCCAGAGCTCACCCGGGCAGGTGCAGGTGAGCAGAGCTTCTGCCCCTTGCCCCAGCCCAAGCCCTTTACTTGCTTTATCTCACTGCAGTCCTCAGGACTAGCCTTCAGAGGTTTGCGCCTCATATCGCAGGAGAAGACACAGGCTCAGAGTGGTGAGGAGACCTGCCCTGTATCAGGTGGCCTGGGAATGGCCGGGTCAAAAGGGATTCCAGGCCCCTACAGCTGAGTCCTTTCCCTTCTTCCATCACCCTGGCCAATGCCCTTGGTGCCTGTTGAGTCTCCTCTTCTGATTACTGCTGCCTGGTCTTCATCCCCACCACCAGAAGATGCACCTTCTGGAAAATGTCCACCCCGACACCTCACCCCAGGCCTATAGATTCAGTAGCTACATCCCTTACAACTGGTGAGAGAACAGAGGCACAGAGAAGGATAGTAACTTGCCCAAAGGCACACAGCCCAGGTACTCCAACGTGATTCCTCCTAGAGGGAAGAAAAGACTGTCGGGAAGAGGTGAGGGGATCAGGTGGGGGCATCTCCCATCTGCAGTGGAAGTCTTCATAGTATCAAGCAGAAATCCTGCAAGATTAACTTTAGTTGCTCCCCTAAATCCTCGGTTGGTTGACCCACATCCCACCTCTAGGCAGGGGTGTGGCACTCTCCAGATGGCCTGTGGGCACACCGTGGGGAACAGATCTCCAGCCCCCTACAAAGCAGGTAGGGAAGAGCTGATGTCCTGAGGGCTTTCTGGGCAGCAGAGTGAAGGCTGCATCATCCCCAGGAGAGCAAGGAATCCCCATGACATAGGGATCGTAGGGGCCAGAAAACTGCCTGTGGACTTGATGGGGAAGGACACAGGGGACCAAAGACAGACATGGCAAACGTGCGGACATCTCATAGAGGCGTGATTTCAGTTCAGCCAAAGGAAGAACTTTCTGACTGTGGGAACTGTCTAAAAGCGGAAAAGAGGAGGGAGTGCATGTCTTCAGAGTGGCATTGGCGTTTAGCCCAGCTGGGTTCGACATGGCTATTTCAGAGGCCACTGAGCAGCCGATAGATCCTGGATAATTGTCTGTTAAGGAGCCTCTGGGTCTCCCGGGAGATGCTGTCCAGTGCTCATCTGAAATCCTGCAGAGCTCCTCCCAGTCTTTCATTTGCACTCCTGCCAGTTCTGCACGGTGAGGGAGTAGCCCCATTTTAGAGATCAGGACACTAAGGCACAGAGTGAGGAAGCCACCTGCCTCAGCCCAGGTCCTTTCCCTCCTCCTGACCCCCAGCCTGAGCCACAGGTGTTTCCAGCAGGTATTTCCAGCAGCCACCCTTGGAGGGCCCCATTCCCTCTTCCATTCTATTCCTAGGATTCAGGGTGACTCAGAGCTGGCCTCCTGCCTCACCTCTGCTTGGCAGGGGAAAGCTCTTTAATGAGTAAGCCATTTGGAGAACTGGGTGGGCTGGGGGATCTTGGGCTGCATTGGCACTTGGCAGAATGCCCACAGCTATTACAAAGTGTATTTTGTTTGCATCCTCAACATTACACTTTGTTTTTATCACAGTGATATCCCTGGGGCACGTGTTTTCTTTCCTCATACCCTAAGGATGATGGATTTATGAGATGGAGGGCACACACCCAGTGTCTCCAAGGCCAGCTCCACTGGGTAACTTTCCACTCCAGACCGCGGGTCTTCAGTCCTCACACCAGCTTCCTGTGCCTCAAGGTTCCGGGCCATTCAAGGGCAGGAGACAGCAGAGTGGAATTTGCAGTGTCCTGGATATGGTGTAGAACTTCGTCCCACAGACAGGTTGCCTGGGGACTTTGTTGGGACCAGAGTGCTCTGAATCACCATGTCCCACCTACCTCTGGGGGGCTCAGGACACTGAAGACCAGAACCTTGCTCAGGCTCCCACAAAAATTATACACTGGAGATTTACACTGGGGATTTAGCTCTGTGGTTCCACCACCTGCCTTGCAAGCGCAAAGACTTGATTTTGATCCCCAGTACCCTCCAAAAAATTATACACTGGATCTAGGGCTGGAACCCCAAGAGAGGTAGGGGCATGACCACTTGTTTTGGAGGCTGTCCCAAGTGCACATTCCAGGACCATCATCTGTAAGCTGTGTGACCCAAGGCAAATTGCTTTAGATCTCTGGGCCTCCATCTTCTCATCTTTAGAATAAAGATAATGATGACATCTCCTTCCTTCATGAGCTTGTGACAATGACTACCTAGGAGATTCCACAAGAAGTCTGAGCCCAGCAGAAGATGAAGACTCCAAAAGTAGCCATGATCTTTCTTTTTGGAGACAAGGAGTCTGTGCTCCCAAAATTGGTGGAGAGAGGGCTGGACATTAGGACCAAATGTCCTGCTGTGTTGCACGTCTTAACCCCTGGAGATGGATTACTTATGCAATTGCTGTTGCAATAGAGAAACAATTCCATATTATGTCCAAGAGCATGCATGGGCTTTGGATTCAGGTGTGACTGTGCCCTTTACCTGCACCATGACCTTGGGCCACCGCTCCTCACAGGGCACAGTGTCCTTGTCTGTGAAATGGGCTCACAGGGCTCTAGAGAGCTCAGGTGTGTGGGGTAGAGATGATCTCAGGTTCCCAGAGTTTGTAGCTGCCAGTACACATCCTTGCACTTCCGGGGGAGGGGCAGAAGGGCAGAGGTCCTCACAGGTGTCCCGCAGGTGTCTTGGTTCACACCTAGCTGCTTTCACGGGCACTGCAGGCATCTGCAGCGTGGTGAGTGTGGGGAGAGTAGGGGGTGGCATAGTGTCATCTATTAGAGGCACTCATCAGTCAATTCAGGGGGCCTCAGAGCCAAAGAGAACGGGAAGGGAAACATTAGCTGTGTGTCTAGACCTGTGCTCTGTTACTTCCCTGCTGAGATGCCTTTTACATTTTTCCCAAAGCAGCCATAGCATTTTCGTCCCAGCCCTGGGAACCAGGTTGGGAAGGGCTCAGATGCCAACTTCCTGGCTGCGTGGCCCCGGCAGCTCTCCCAGCCACTCTGAGTCCTCCTTCTTCTCTAGCAAGGGGCCTGGAGCAGCCAGCTCAGCTCCTCCAGCACTGTCAGGAAAAGCATGGGAGGCCTCGAGGCCCCACTAGGAGATCTGCCTCTCCTATCACTCCCCACCCCCGGTTCTTTTTCAGACCTCAGGGACGCTCGGCACTGGGGCTCCATCCCCCTGTCCTGTGATCAGTCACCGCTTTCCTTTTTTAGATGCTTTGCTTATTGTTCATCCCGAGTTCCACCAAACTGTGGCCTTTGCAAAGCTCAAAACAAGCTGATTGATGACATCTACTGCCACCCCTGCCCACCCCCAGCCAGGCCTTCCTTCCTGCACCCCAGCCGGGCCATGGCTCACCCTCTCTGCCAGCAGGCAGCTTCAGCGGCTTGCACATAGCCTAGCCTTTTGTCTTTCCACCCTGTGCTGGGCTTGGGGCAGACATCTCCTCAGTAGGCACCGAGGACAGGACCAGGCCAGGACTGTGGCAGCTGTTAGAAGTAACATTTGAAACCTAGACCGATTTTCTCACTTCTGCTGTTCTGGGTCATTTGGACAGGCAGGCAGGGGAAAAGAAAAGTCCAAGGATTGAATCTCATTCTTTCACAGGGCTTTCTTCCCAGCCCCAAATCCACCAGCAGCCCCCAGAGCTTTCTGGGGGACTTTGCCCTCCTCCGCCAGGCCTTTATACCCTTTGTGATGCTGCCCCTGGCTCCATCTCCATCCTACCCATCTTCTGCCTTGCCCTTCTGCAGTTTAGCAGTGCTGAGTTCATTCTCATTTCCAGGGTTCCACTGGTAATGGTTGTCCTGCCTGAAATCCAGGTCCCGTTCTTGACCAGCCCTTGTGCTGAGCGGTTCCTCTGACCCTGCATGCAGCCCATGTCTGTGTGTCCAGCCCCGCTGATGTCTCTTAGCTCCAGGGCAGGGACTGTGTGTGATTTGCTGGCATGCATGTCTGTCCCTGCGGCCAGCACGGGCCCTGGCACGGTCAGAACAGATGCTCTATAACTGTCAGCTGAGGAGGAAGTGAGGCACTGAGGAAGGAATGAGGGACATTCCCGCCACCCTCACACCATGGGGGCCCTAACCGTGGGAGCTGGCGCCTGTGAGATTGAAGTTTCCTGGGTCCCTTTATCAAGAAGAGACCTTAGCCAAGGGGCCCAGCAGAGGGTTGGAGCCAGCTCGGAGGGGGCTCTGGGGTGACCTCACCCGCAGAGAACTCTCACATCAGAGATGCTTGGGGCCACTTAGGCCTGGATGGGGTGGGCTTCCCCAACCAGCAGCACACTGTGACCTCCAGCCTCCCGTGACCCCGTTCACCTCGAGGTGTTGGCAGGCGGGCTGTTTGCAAAGGGGAGGAGAGGGTAGCTGGGACTTCCAGCACGGGCTGGCCCTCTTCCTCTGGGCTTGCTGCTGGCCAGACTTCTGTAACAGAGAACAAAGTCCCAGCAGCCAGCTTCTATACCCTGGGCTCCTGTCACTGTGTGCTCGGCAGTGGTGAGATAGGGCTGGTTATTTGTTTTCTAACCCGCTTCAAACCTACCAATAGAAAGGACTCCTTACAGCCAGAGGACACCAGTAACCTTGTCCTTCTTGGTATGGCGAGAGGTTGCTTTTCCCCCTTTCTCTGAAGCACATGCAGACGCACACACTCACACTCATACCCCATGCTTCTTCCTACTGACAACAGTGCTTGCCTGTGTTCGGTACTTGGGCAAATGTCACTTCAACTACAGATATGTCGCTCAAGGTCTGCAGTCCACAGATGCATGTTGTAAGGGTCCAGGAGACCCTGAAGTTTGAACATCAGGTTGTGTGTTTCCAGGCAGACAGGCTGCTAGTAACAGGGTCCACTCCACCTCTGACCTGACGGTTACACACGGCTGCACAGAAGGGCTGAGGTGTGGGGAAGGACCGTTGCAGAGCCTTAGTTTCTGCTTCTCATAAAGGAAGAGAGTAAGGCTGGGAATTCAGCTCAGTGGAGCTGCACCTGCCAGGCAAGCATAAGGCACTAAGTTCAATCCCTGGTACCAAAAAAAAAAAAGAAGAAGAGGGTAAAAGCTATTCTGTAAGGTTGTCCTGAAGGTGAAGCCCCATAAACAAAGGTGCTCACCTGGCACATAGTAGGAGCCCTGGGAATGTGCTAAAAGGGCAGGGCAGAAGAGATGTTTTCCCGGAGTGACCATTCCCTTTCCCCATAGAGAGGAACCCACTGAAAGTCGCAGCCAGAACGCCATCTGCTGAATGCCAGTGCGCAGTACTCCTGGGCATCCACAGCCAGAGCTGCCTGAGTGTTTGCTTCCTGCTCCCCTCCTGGCAGTTAATGCCATTTCCTTGGGCTCTTTTTAGATCAAAGGAAGAGCTGGGCTGGAGAGATGAGTGAGGACCACAGCACGCATTTGGGACACTGCTGGCATGGCTTAAAAATAGGGTTCTGTCCTTGAACACCACGTGGAAGCAACTCAGGATTTTTGAAGGGCCTGTCTGGCCAAGGTCATGAGCCTTTGGGGAGAAACCTTTAGAATATGTTTCCCCTGCATCACTGGGAGGCATCTGTGACCCAGAAACGAACCTTTCCAAGTCAAAGGCCTAAATAAGGTGGCTAAAGGGAGACCAAATTTCTAATGAGCGCTAAATGTGCCACACGCTGTGTCTGGTGAGCTTGCCTTCTGTCATCCTCACGACAATCCGCAAATAGAGGTGATTTTTACTAGTTTTCTAGGTGTCCCCAAGGCCCAGAGAAGTTAAGCATGGACCTCAGGATCACAGAGCCAGTAAATGACAAAACCCAAAGTTAAGCCCAGGTCTGTCTGACTCCAAGCTCGTGCTCTTTTGAACCACCTCTCAAATTGAAATCTAGCAATAAAAATCTTCAAGAGATGGAGGTGAGGGGCTTATGTGCTGGCTGGACTATGATGAAGTTTATTAAACATCTACTGTGTACCAGGACTTCTGCTGGGATCTTTCTGTGATCTCACTGCCCCTGCCAACAGCTGAGATGGGTGTCTAAGGTCACACACCATTTACAGATGACAAAACTGCAGCCTTGGGAAGTGACTTGTTCAAGGGCCTTCCTACAAATTAGTGGCAAAGCACAGATCTTAGGTTGACCTATCTTCCAGAAAGATTTGCCTAGGGCTGGCCATGGCAACACTAATTAGCAATGGCAGATTCCTCACCCCCCTAATCATCCCAAGCCATGCCTCATCCACCCCAAGAACCTTTGAACACGCGTTCAAAGTTGGCGTGGTACCTTTGACTAAATGTTGTAGAGGGCCCCCTGGCCGGGATGCAGTTGGAGCATCCCTGGTTACCATGAGGGCTGGGAAAGGACTGTTTCCTCCTCCTCTGAACCAGAAGGACAAATACAGAGGTCTCCACCATATCCCCAACTCACAGAAACCCCCCTATTCGTACACTCCTTGCACCCAGGCCCTGGATGAAATCAGAGGGGGCCTCCCTAGCCACTCGCAGCACCCTCCCTGAGCTGGTGGGGGCCTTGGCATTTCTGGGGACAAATGTAGTTTGGCCCTGGCCTGGTTTGGGGCTTCTTCCTGGCAGAACACCTACTCCCCAGAGACACTCCATTTGAGCCTGGCCCAGATGCCAGCAGCTGAGGACCTCTGACCCCACAGATTGAGCCATTTGGGGAGGGATACCACGCGGACATTTGGATTCCTGATGGACTATTCTGCAGCCATGGAAGGGCCATGGCGAAGGTGTAGAGCCAAGTGGGGAAGTGCTGTGTATGTCGAGTTCGAGAGGAAAGGGCAGCGTGCAAAATGGGCTATATGCTCTGATTGCAAGAAAGTTAGAAAAAGTACTTCGTGCTTCTCAGTCCTTCTGGGACTCGGAAGGACGTCAGGACTGGGGAAAGAGCACTGATTCGGGGTGAGATGGAGCTGGGTTCACACTTCAGGTCTGCTCTTGCTACTGTGTGATGTGCCATTGCTGCCTAGAGTCTTGTTTCCCCCTAGAAAATGGGGTCAGTAATCCTGCAGGTGAGGTCTCGTTTTGAGCATAAGCTGCAATCATACTGGAAGCTTTCCAACACGGGTCCTTTCCAACATGGGCGTATCATAAGGTTCAGATGATGATTCTGTCCTGGGTTGGGGGCTGAGACAACAAGTTGCAGTTAAAACTTCGATTCGAGTCAGATGTGATCACGGGAATATGCAGGTTGGCAGAGTTTTCTCCTCTTGCCCAAACTTTCTATAATATGGCTGTCGTTCATTGCAGCAACTTCAGTGTTGCAGTTCAGGTTTCCTGCTGACATCTCCACATCAGGCTACTCTAGGTCTCCTGGAGTCCACCTCCATATTTTCCTGTTCCCTGTAAGAACAAACGTCTTTCCCCAAACCCAGCTAAAAGCAGATGTGGGTATGCAATTTAGGGATCGCTTATTGTTGTTCTTTTATTTTCAGCATCTCCGATTTGTGTAAATAGCACATTGTCTTAGAACAGTTTCACTCTGCTTTTCTTTAGCACATGTCAGGGCTCTGGCCTCAGAGAGGAGGAAAATAGGAGTGTTTATCCCTCATTCTCTGGAGGAAGTTGGATCATATAATCAAGATTAAACAAATATGTAAACGTTGCCAGTGTCTTGACTGCATTTTATCCTAACATATAGTTGGGTTTGCAAGACACTTCCCCTTACAGTAACAAAGCAGTATATCTCCTGGAGCAGCCCGGCCTTCATTGAAATTGTCAGACTGCTCCAGAGGAACATCTGCTTAGAATTCCCAAGCTGTTTTGTAAGGGAACTCAGGTGGAGAGATAAGGTGGGGGTGGGGCGAGGCAGTTTAATCAAATCAGCTTTCTGATCCATGGTCATATTTTATGCTTCCTGGAGACTTTGCCAGTGGAAGAGGACCTTGGTCTGTGAGCACTGCAGGAGGTTGGGTGGCTCAGACGAGGCCGCGGTGTGTGGAGGACACGGGCCTCTGATGTCCCTACACAGCCTCTGCTGATGGTGTGCACTGTGCAGCCTGCTTGAGCCTTGTCCTTCTGAAACAGTGGTCCTTTCTCTTAGCCTGTGGTTCTGGAGATGGCCTGCAGCCTAGCTCTGAGCCTGCCCCTCCATCACAGGCAGCCCCGTGGGGAGCCCTGTCATAGCCCTTTCTGCCCCTCAGCCCTGCAAGACAGTGACACCTGACCCCAAGCCCCTCTGCCACAGCTGCCCTCTAGTCCAGGAGGCTTGACTCAGTAGCTGAGGTCCTTTCCTGGCCCTCCCCAGAGGTCCTCTGCCTACGGTGGGCTGAGCAGTCACACGTCTGTGCTCCGAAGCTTCAGTAGTCACTTCTCAGAGTGAAGCCGTTAAAGAGCTAGTGAAGAATTCTAGGGTCCCCTCATTCTCCTCCCGGACTATTTCTGGAATTCTGCTTCCCCTCTGACACCACTTCGGCTCCACCCTCCACTAGCTTCCTTGTCCCACCAGCACAGTCCTCCCTCGGGGCCTTTGCACCTGCTGTTCCCCCTGCCTGGAATGCTGTTCCTCAAATACCTTCATTGCTCACTCCTTCACCTCTTTGAGGTCTCTGTTCAAAAGTCACTCATCAGAGGGCTGGGGATTTAGCTCAGTGGTTCCACTGCCTGCCTGGAAAACGCAAGGTCCCAAGTTCAATCCCTGGTACTGAAAAACAAAATAAAAACAAAAAAGACAAAACAAAAGTCACCCATCAGAGAGGCCCTCCCTGTAAATCCTATCTAAAATAACATCTTCTCTCTGCCCCCTCCCTGTTACATTTTTGTCGGTAATGAACCTCTCTAGGGTACGGAGCAGGCTTATTTATTGTGGGCCTTTTCCCACTGGAATGTCAGCTCCATCCATGTGGAAGCCTTGTCTGTCTGGGGAACTGCTGTCTCCCAGTGCCTACCATGATGTCTGCCCCTTACTTGACACTCACGTAAGAGTCGTTAAATGACTGAATGACAGAAACGTTTACGTTGTTTGTTTTTTTTCCTAAAGTGGGGCCTTGGCTTTGTTCCTTGCACTTTGTCTTCTGTGGGGCAGTGGTGTCTGATTGAAGAGGGGGCTCCCAGCTTCCCTGCAATGTTCCCCAGCTCAGTGAGCAGGGCTCCCTTTCTCCATGGGCTGGGGAGGAGCTGGGGCATTTTCTCCATCCTGGCCCCCATGTGCCTCGGTATTCAGTAAACCCACCGCCTCCACCAGAGTGCCAAAGCGCAGTGTGGGCTGTGGCTGGCGTGGGAGGAGGGTTCCTGCTGTGGCTTCCCTTTCTCCAGGGCTGCCACTTTCGAGGCACACCATGGGCTGCCTGTGAGCTAGGAGAACTTGCCATGACAATGGCTCTGATGCAGCAGTGAACTTCAGCCTGCAGTAATCACCCACCTGCTGCCTCCCGGGCCTGCCCCTGGGTGGGGGAGGTGACTACGCTCCCTCAGCACTGAGCCACTCCGGGCCCTGACCAATAGCCAGAGCCTCTGAAAGGAGACCACCCTAGATCCTAGAGCAGAATTTCCTTAGAAACAAACCCCAAAGGTGTGAGCTCCAGAAATGCCAACTTGCTCCCAAAGAATGCTTTCCTCTTCTGTGGGTAAAGGGAGGGTGACCACATCATCAGGTTGTTAACGGCCCGTGACACTTCACACTGCCCGGTAGTGGTTAGGGGCTTCGTCCAGGTGTCTGTCAGGGGCTGGGTGAGTTAAATTGTGCTGCCATTCCACAGGCAAGGAGATCAGCTAGAGAACTGAATGGCTTGTCCTGTATTACGCAGCCAGGAAGCACTGGAGAGCTGGGATTCCAGGCTACCTCGGGGAGCCCAAGAGAATGCTCCCAGTCTGTGGCCTCTCGTGCCTTGCTTCTGAACAGAACCCACACAGAGAAAAGGGGCCAAATCCCCTCACCACTGCCCAAGAATCTTGGGCTCTCGCTACCCTTGGAGGAACTCTGCAGCCCAGAGATGGCCTGAGGGATTTGGTGGGGTTAGAGAAGTCATTTGATCCCAGGCTGGCTGTGGTGACAACCTCACTGGTATTAGTCTGTGTGAGAGTGGAACAGCTCTCATGCTTACAGTACACAGACCCACAACCTCGAACAGCATTAGGCCTCAGTTTGGCCTTCTGTGGAATGGGTAGAATGCTCTGAAAAAAATGGGAGTGGTATCCATTTGGTCTAGCCTGAAATCTCAAGTTTATCAATGACTTTTCTATTAAGATGGAATTTAATGTAAAAATGATTATAAGACGACCAGAGCCCTAACCTTCCTGCCTGTCTCCTCCTGCAGACCCCAGTCCCCCGGCACGCCTTCTGGCCACCCGGCCCTGCTGCGGTCCCGGCCCCGACCGGCGCCCAGTCCTGGGTGAGGCCCCGCGCTTCCATGCTCAGGCCAAGGGCAAGAACGTGCGGCTGGACGGCCATTCACGCCGGGCCACGCGGCGCAACAGCTTCTGCAACGGCGTCACATTCACGCAGCGGCCCATCCGCCTGTACGAACAGGTGCGGCTGCGCCTGGTGGCCGTGCGCCCTGGCTGGAGTGGTGCGCTGCGCTTTGGCTTCACGGTGCACGATCCTTCACTCATGAGCGCGCAGGACATCCCTAAGTACGCTTGCCCCGACCTGGTCACACGGCCTGGCTACTGGGCCAAGGCGCTTCCTGAGAACCTGGCACTACGCGACACGGTGCTGGCCTACTGGGCCGACCGCCATGGCCGCGTCTTCTACAGCGTCAATGACGGCGAGCCCGTGCTCTTCCACTGCGGAGTGGCCGTGGGCGGCCCGCTCTGGGCTCTCATCGACGTCTATGGCATCACCGACGAGGTGCAGCTCCTTGGTAGGTGGCACGCCCTGGATGGGGACTGGGTGGGAGGTACCTGGGTGCAGGATCTCTGGGCTGCCGGCAGTATGCAGATGGATCAGATCCAGCCCATGGTTCGCTGGGGAGACAGACAGATGTAAGTCAGCGCTCACACAGGAGGCAGCACCATGCAGAATTCCTAGCGTTGAGAGCTCATTGCCTACACACACACACAGTCTACCCTTACAACTTGAAATTTGTTTTTAATTGAGGTAAAATTCAAAGCGCGTAACCAGATGGCCCTTTGTTGCCATCCGTAACCTCTGTCTAGTTCCAGAACATTTAACCCTCCCAGTGAACACCAGTACCCACTTCCTCCCTGGCACCACCAGCTTTCTTTCTGTTGAAGACCTTAGGTCTTAGACCTGCAGATTGCACCTGAACCAACCAGTCTTGACTTCTGGGTGAGTAAAGGGAGAGCAGGCTTCTCAGGGGTCTGGAGACTGCCCTACATGTCACTCACCTGCAAGGAAATGCACAGATCTAACTGGTAGGTTTGTCCCTTAGCCCGGAAGTTCCCACCTGCCGGAGTCAGCCCCCTTCTTCCCTAGGGGGAGCCTTCTGCTGATTTGCCACAGAACTTCACCTAAGTGGGATCAGACAGTGCATGTGCACTTGTGTGTGGGTTACTCAGCACAGTGGTTTGGCATTCACTCATGTGGTTGCAGTATAGACCAGCAGTTTGTTCCTTTTTGTTGCTGAGGAGTATTTCACAATATGGACTTCCACAGCTAGTATGTCTGAATGTTTGGGTTGTTTCTGTTAGTCAGCCTTATATCTTGAAGGAAACCCTGGCTTGGAGTCCTTGCCCTCTGCCCCCACCATTGGGCTCAGGGGAGATTTGCACATCCAAGCCCTTTCCTCCAAGAAGAAGATACTAGAACTTCTGAGTGGTTGGGAGCCTGCCCAGGCGTTGGAGTTACAAAGCCCTCAGTCTAGACTTGGCTCCCCACTTCTGAGCTGTGTGGCTATGGCCAGCTAGCTAGACCTCTCTGTGTCTCAGTTGTTTCATCTGTAAAACAGGTTCATGATGGCACCTACCTCATGCCTTGTTGACAGGGTTACATGAGACAGTGGATGCAAGGGGTGCAGCCAGGGCCAGCTAAATAGAAAGCACTTGAGATATGACAGCTAAGAACAAGAATCTCTACCTACTTGCAAGTGAGTCGGGCCACACGTGGGTTCCAGTTTACCCACCCTCCTTGCCGGGGCCCAGCTTGGGTATTGTAACTGTGTCTCCACAGCTCTTTTCTGTGAAAGGTTTTGGCATTTCACCTCCAGAAAACACAGGTCTCTAAAAGCTCCCAGAGCTCTTTATTCCTGTGGCACAGAGAAGCAGCCGCTCCTCCTCCATCTGCCCATCCATAGCCCCTGTCTCCTGGTGCAGACAGGGTGTCACAGCCACATGACAATCAGCACAATTGGGTTTGTATTTTTAAAAAACACAATTTGGAAGGAGTGTTTGATGGTGTAATGAGACAGTATAAATCTGGGGGACCTGGACTCTTCCCACACACTTTTCTTTTCTGTACTGGAGATGGAACCCAGGACCTATGCACTGAGCTACGTCCTCAGCCCTTTTTTAATTTTTATTTTGAGTCAAGGTCTCACGAAGTAGCTAAGGTACCCAGGCTGAACTTGTGGTTTTCCTGCTTCCGTCTCCCAGAGCACTGGTTCTCCCTTTTCATTTGCTTATTCAGCAAAACTTCAGGTGACTCCAACAATGTTCTGTGCCCCTTTGAGGAGAGAGGCAGAGTCCACTGGAGTGGAGTGTCTGTAATGCAGCAGAACTGAGCCTGTTTCCCTGTTTGCAAGTTGTCCCTGAGCTGTGCTAGTGATGGGCTCTCCCTAGCACAGGTGTCACAGGGCAGTGATCACACAAATATACAATAGGAGGAAACAAGATCAGAAGGAACTGCTTCTCTGGGTGTTGGGACCAAGATGAATGTCACTCTTCTTATATCTATAAGAGTTACCTTTTAAAAACATATATTATGTAAAATATTATATATATATATAATAATTTATGTAATATAATATATATATATAAAGAGAGAGAGCTTTTATTGCTTTTAAAATTTTTTTTCCAGTAGGGGGAACAAACTGGTGACCTTGAGCTTGTGAGGCAGGTGCGGTGCCACTAAGATAGATCCCCGGCCCTTGTATTGCTTTTATAGTCAGAAAAAGCAATAAAATTGTTTTCCTTACCAAAGGTTACATGCGATCATGGAGAGGAAGTTTCTGGCATGTGATTTCTGGCATATGATCACCATGTGTAAATGTTTGTTTCCCTCTCAAGGGAAAAGCAAGTTGACATGTGTCGCATCTGGGGAAAGGAAGGCTCAGTGATTTTTGTTGCTTTTTTTTTTTCTTCCCAAGTTAAGGATGATTTATAGCAAGGGGTAAGTGTAATAAACATAAGAAAGGTATACAGTAATGATTTTGTATGGTTTAAGAATAGGCAATACATACCTGTCTGTTGTCAGCACCTCAGAAATCCTCCCAGAAATCTCCCAGTTCCTGGGAGAGCTTAGCTTCCAGATGGTGGGGTCTCCAGAACCAGTAGATGCACATAGGCCAGCTGTGTCCATGTTCTCTGGAGCCCTCTGGACTCCTGTCCATCACGAGGAACCCATAGAGGTTCTCAGCTGTGAAGTTCCAGGATAGAATGCCCCTTAGGACCTCTCCATCCCTCCCTTGCCTCTCTCAGATCCCAATGGGCAAAGTTTAAAAACCAAAAGCCAAAGATGGCATCTGGGCAGAGTTGTCAAATTTAACAAAAAAAATTTTTTTTTTAAATTTAAGATAATGAAAAAAAATTTTAGCACAAGTTTTTCTTGTTCTAAAATATTTGGAACATATTTATGTGGGGGAAATGTGTTTATCTGAAACTCATATGTATGCTGGCATCCTGTATTTTATCTGGCAACACTAGTCTGGGAAACACCCTCCCATCTTGTGTGTGGGGTGCAGTTAAATTGCCCCAGAACTTGAGCCAAAGGTAAGTGTCAGACATCTGCAGGGTCCAAAAGCCTCAGAGGGTTTGGACCTGGTGGTACAGCATGCTCTGCCCAGAGTCTTCCTGCCCAGGGCCCAGCCACAGCAGGGAATGCTGCATCTGTGGGACCAGGCCCTGGACTATCCAGTTAGGTAGAGTCTGAGGTTCTGAGAAGGAAAGCAACCAGCCAGCCTCAAGCATCCAGCATGGAAGTGGCAGAGCCAGGATTAGAAGCAGTTATGTTTGTCTTTAGTTTACTCTTTACTTGTTTCTCCATCCCAGCTGTATATTGAGATCCCTGAGGAACTTTCAAAGTCCTGTACCCAGACTAATTAAATCAGAATCTCAGGGGGAAGAGGTCTTCAGACATCTGGATTCCCCTGTCCTCAGGTGACCCCAGGGGACAGCCAGGATTGAGATCCCAAGGACCTGTGTGCCTGGGTACATACTTTCCTCCTTTCCTGTTGGAAAGCTTGGGTGCCAAGCTGAGTGCCTCAGACTCCTCCATTCAGGTGTGGCACTATCATTTGCCCATGCAAACTATGAGCCCGTCACCTGCACATGCAGCGCCTTCTCATCTCACTTCCCCGTTATATATTTCTGTGATCATTGTCCTGCCTGTGCCAGGTGTAGCCCATTATAGTACATCTGAGGGATGACTGGCAGATAAGGGAACTGGGCCGCACATTTGCTAGGTCCCACTGGCATTCTAGCTGACTCCCCTTCCCAAAAGACACACAGAACAGCATAGGGCTTCCGTGAAGGGTTGCTGCACACACAAAGGTTGAGCATTTTGCTTCATTTCCCGTTTGCCAGGCACCACGGTAGTGGTCACCACATAGTGCCTCTGTCCTTCCTCTGCCCAGTGGCAGAAGGCTGGTGAGACTGAACAGGCAGTGCCAACCCAAGGCCATGATATTGCAGAATAAACTGTTAGGAATCTCAGGTTACAAGTGACAGGATCATGGGTCATTCTCCTTTAAGCAAGAAAAGGGAATCGATCGCTCATGACTAAAATGCCAAGGAACGCCAGCTGCTAAAGAACGGCACCTGGCATACTTGTCCATCTCCATCTCCTGCTCCTCTGCTGCCTTTGTTGGCTCCCTCCCAATCAGGCTCCCTTTGGGGCAGAGGGAAGGCACCAGCTGCTCCTGGCCCATGTCCTGCCAGTTTAACACATCGGCGGGCAGGGGGAGCTGCCTTCTGGAAAGGTCTGGGTAAGGTCTCAAGACTGAGCCGCATCCGTCCGACCTGGTTCACACACCCACCCCTGAACCCATGTCTATGGCCAGGGGAATGGGATAGAGTGATTGGCCAGCTCAAGGAACCCCTTCTCCTCAAGGTAATGAAAAATGGGTCTGGTACACTTCTCCCCAGAGAAAACATAGTGCAGGTACAGAGGAGAGTGGATGCCAAGTAGCCAGAATAACAGCCCTCTTGAAGGTCATTGACTCACCTTTCTAGCAAGCATTGAGACCGTTGGTTATCACAGTTGCCTCCTCACCACGGATACCAAAATCCACAGGTGCTCAAGTCCTTCCTGTGAAATGCCCTAACCTAGCACATCCTCCCATATACTTAAATCATCTCTGGATGACTTATACTGCCCAATACAATGTAAAGGACGTGTAAATAGTTGGTATGGTATCGTTTAGGCAATAAGGACAAGGGAAACATTCAGTGCGTGTTCCATACAGATGAAGTTGTTGTTTTAGAATGTTTTCCATCAGCACTTGGTAGGATCCACTGATGAGAAAACTGCCACTTGTGATCCATACTGGGCACTTACATGGCTAATGTTATTATTCTCTACTAGAACCTGATCTGGCTGGAAACAGGAGCATCCTCATTTGCAGGCTCACTGTAGTTAGATGACGTGGCATTGACCACTGCTGTTTTCTCCCCAAATAAGCCAGGCTGCAGCCTGATGCCCACTCTCTGCCCAATGGTAAGGCACTTGCTTGGCAGGATGGACTAC